CAAATGTTGACTCTCCAACATGCAAAGTAATTTAAATTTTAATATTAAAAATACTTTTATGCATCTGAAAATTTTTAAATTTCAGTTGCAAAATCTTTATAACCTCCATATAATTAGCAAATGTTTTTTAAGAAAATTTTTTTATATTTTATCTGTTATTTTCACTATCAAATCTCTGTACGGGTTCGGTCCATTTGACCAACTTCATAACTACAATAAAAAATTAGGAAATAAACATAAATAATGCTTTTTTTATTCTAGAATGGCTACAGATTATAACACAAAACATGAATGTTTAGTCTAAATAGCTTAAATCTCGTAAAATTATATATTACATATATTTATTATTCTTATTATATTGACCTTTCAGCTGTGCCAGGCTAACATTACAGAAGTTACAATGACGTGGTGCATGTGCACTCGTTACCGTATCCAAGAACATAAAACTGGCTTTTACAAAGTGACCTGTCTTTTAGTGGACTAGTATTTTGTACAATATAGTCACATTTCAGTTATAATACATTATTACTATTTACAAATAAGTTCTTAAACTTATTTTTCTTAAAACATTGAACAGTAAATAAAGAAGCATAGCAAACAATTATCTCTTCTAGATACAAACTTTGTACTAATTTGCTGCTTGCCGTAGGTTGCTAAGCCTTATCAAATTTCGCATGTGGAATATGTGAAATGAAATAATTTTTTTTAGGTTTTATATATACATTTAGAAAATCTTAAATTACTGTATCAATACCATAGATTTCCATTATAATTTATCAAGCTTAGTAACTAAGCTGTCTTTAGGTCTACAAAAATGAAATTTTGAGCTCACTAATGTCTTACGTTACCACTTAGAATCTAGCATGAAAAGAACAAGTTTGCTGCCCAGGTACTTCAAAGAGGCTGAGAAAGCCATTAGGGGGACATTCTGAGCTATCAATTTGTTGTACATGTATCATTGGGTGAAGTAGGTGTATGTGAGCAAGTGTTTTCAAAAAATTGAAGAGGTGGGCAATAGGAGGTTCTTATTTTATATTCTAGCTTATCAGTATCGATATTTGAGTATCTAATTCATAAAAAACTAGACTTTGTATTTGGACATCACAAACATCTAATTCAAACCAATGTTACATTCAACATACCATGTGACACACAAAAATCAATGTTTAGCTGTGTTTTATTTATATTTACTTTTAAATTAAGAAATTAACTAATGTATAATACTAAAATTTTAATTATAATCTACATTTTGATACCAGATTTACTGACATAAATTTATAAAATAGTAGTTCAGTAAAATTTTGAATGCAAGTCAACAATTGCAATGAGATGACCTTTGACTCATGTCACTAGGGTTAATGATGATTGCCATTTCCTTTTGACTTTTATAACTTACGTTGATAAAAATATATATACACACACAGTCACATATATGTTGTAGATTCAAAATGTTTAACAATAGAACCATTTTTATCTTGTACTTATGGAATAAGTGTTCCAGTTGTTAGATAAAAATTATCGCACAAAGCTTGATGCCTTTCAACAATAGTAAAAAGTTATATAATAAATACTAAAAACATAGTAATCCCAAAAGGCGTCTTTACTACGGACCTTACAGAATTTCTTTAAATTCCATCATCAGCATTGATATCTATCTAAAAAAAAATTAGTTTGTAATATTCGAACTACAAAAATCAACATTAGCATTGAGTGAGGTTTTGTATTCAATTGGAACTTTAGAAAGAACTGATTTAAATAGTAATAATCTTATTATAATGGAGCTTGTGATGTATACGTCCAAAACTCGGATCTCGAAAACTACCACACCAATCATAACTGGGTAATATTTTTATAACTAGGCAGTATTTTTATAGGTGAGCAATAAGTAAAACATTTGAAATGTCCACAAAAATGATATGTTTCAGTTTTAATCAATAGATATTATAAACAAAAAAGAATGTTTCAAATATAAAACAATCAAAAAACAAACTTAAAAAAAATATTTGTTTTTCTATAGTGAAAATCTCATGAGTGTTGCAACAGAAAATCAAGGCACTTTCATTGATAACTGTGTCTACAAAGAAATACTTCAGTAAAATCTACTCTGTGATGATAGCTCATTTTTAAACTGAAATTTCAATAAAATCTTTTTTCTCAAGAATGGTGACCCAATGGTATTCCACAGGAACTAGCAGTTATACGGGCTCGGAGGGTGGCTATTTCTATTAATATAATGGAGTGTACGATTGAGTACAAAAATTTGCTCAATGCTAATGTTGTTTTTTGTAGTTTGATTATTATGAACTAATTTTTTTTAGATATTAACACTGATGATGGAAATTCGAAATCGTCTGTATTAAAGATGTTTTTTTGGTATTACCGTGTTTTATAATATCTATTATAAAACTTTGTTTTCCACGTGATGAATCAATAGAACAAAGTTTTGTCTAACTTCATTTTACAGTTGAAATCATCAAAATACAAATATATATATATGTAAGATAAAAGTAGGTTTTAGAGCTGATCTGCTGATTGATATCTTTAATTATCCCAAGCTTACAAAAAAAAAATTGCCTTTTCTGTCGAGAAAACTTACCCAATCGAGAATTAAAATTAACACCTCTGTGAGTAAATTATCCCATAGAAGTGAACCACCTAAATGGTGTAGTGATGTAAACCAAGCCAGGGGAAATATCAACAGTAATTCATTGATTGGATAAAGTTTAAATAACTACTATGGTCAGTTATTTTGATGCATATGTGACGTGGGTTGATATTTTTTGGGTACATTGATTGAAGTAACTTTGTACTGCATATTACTATTTTTTTACTTTAACAGAAGGATGTATTTAAGACTTAATTTCTGTATAACATTTTTTTGATAATGGATGCTTTCTGTTGGATTGTTGGCTTATAATTTGAAAGCATGTTTGATGTTTACTTTCTTGTAAATGTTCCACCAGAATACAGGTTTTCTCAATTTTCATGTGTTTTTGATGATTTTTCAGGTGTGGTTTTATGAAGATTGTTGTCTACATACACACCGAACAGTATTCTTTCCCCTTTTAATCTAAAGTCAGTAGTAGCAGTGGAACACTAAATTCAATATATGTTAAACATTCCTTCATTTATGTGATTGGTGTAATTTTTTATGCATAAAATACTCTGGGTCCCAGGTTATCAAGAATGTGAAGTTACCCATATAACATGATTCTTGTATGTGAAATATTCTGAGTCCCAGGTTATAAAGAATGTGAAGATACCCATGTAACGTGATTCTTGTGTGTGTAATACTCTGGGTCCCAGGTTATAAAGAATGTGAAGATACCCATGTAACGTGGTTCTTGTATGTGTAATACTCTGGGTCCCAGGTTATAAAGAATGTGAAGATACCCATGTAACGTGATTCTTGTGTGTGAAATATTCTGGGGCCCAGGTTATCAAGAATGTGAAGATACCCATGTAACGTGGTTCTTGTATGTGTAATACTCTGGGTCCCAGGTTATCAAGAATGTGAAGATACCCATGTAACGTGATTCTTGTATGTGAAATATTCTGGGTCCCAGGTTATGTAACATGATTCTTGTATGTGAAATATTCTGGGTCCCAGGTTATCAAGAATGTGAAGATACCCATGTAACGTGATTCTTGTGTGTGAAATATTCTGGGTCCCGGGTTATCAAGAATGTGAAGATACCCATGTAACGTGATTCTTGTATGTGAAATATTCTGGGTCCCAGGTTATCAAGAATGTGAAGGAGGGGTAAAGCTACAGTTTAAATTTTTATCAGGGCTGTTGACTCAAGAAAAGAATTTTGTCAACATTAGTGGAGGCCAGGGCTTAGCCTAAGAGAAGAATTGGGGATTTCCTGTAAAGTAAAGGATAGGTTTAAAATTTTACATTCTCTAATGTTGGTGGACAAGGACAGTCGTGAAGGACTAGTTGATCTTTTTTTTGTCCATGTGTTATATTTTTGAGAACAAACACCTAATGTTATCTTCTGTTTTAGGGTTGTTTTTTGTGTGAGTGTGTGTGTGTGTTTTGGGACTTTTCTATATTGGTCTAATGCTGTCATGCGAGTGAAATATAGAGATGAGGAGGCTAACCTAGAGGAAAGTAAATCTAGATTTGAATAAAAGTGGTCTTGTGTAATGATTTATCTTGGTTCTAGGCATAAATCCATAGAATGATACAGTAACAGGAAACCCCACTTAACAACGATGCTAAACATGAAGCATTATACAACTTAGACTTTCAAGTCATCTGATTGCTCTAGATCTAAACAAGTAATTATATATGCATTAACTTTGTATCTATCAGGCCTAACTTATAATCTTAGTTGGACAGTGACTTATTTGGGGATGATAGACAATATAAGGAAAAGCAACTCAGGATTTTCAGTGGTCTTGATTTACTTTCAGAGGACACTTTAAGAGAAAGTGCTTATAAAAGTGACTTAGGAATGGATAGTTTCACCATGTTGTTTACCGAAAGAAAGCATTGTTGTACTAACCTCAACCAATGTAATAAGAAAAATTTAACAATTTTAAATTAATAGTTTAAGTATTTGAGACAAGAGCTAAAAATAACTATGTAATTACCCAAAACAGGCTTATGGTATGGAGAGCGAAGACATTGACCTCTTCAGCTATGACAATGTTAAAGGGAGCGAGGCTTATCCAAAAAAGCTGGTTCAGACTGACGATCCTGCTGTCACAGTGCCCTTCCCAACTCTCACTGGGGAAGGCATAGAGTATTTGGGCTATACAACCGAAGGAACCATTGCTTTATCCAGCTACAGAATTTTTGTGCACACCAAAGAATCTGTCTTCAACATCCCTATTGGACTGATTGAACAGGTTGAAATTCGAGATATATTCTTCCTCATCATTTTCTGTAAGGATGCTCGTTCTTTAAGGTTAGTGTTTGTCTTTTTGAGTCTTGTAAAGTAGCTTTCATCATAAATATTTAAAGAATATCTCTACAATACAGAAAGTAGTAAGCGATAACTTTCGAGATTCTGAGCGAATGATTTTGATTTGTATGTTTTTCACTGCTTCGTGAAGCATCTTTACTGGTTGATATGTTGTTGCCATGGTACTTCACTATTTTAAAAAATGATGAATAAAACGTGCATACACTTAAGAAAACTTACACATGGTTACAGAATGGTGTTAAATTGAAATCTATACTTGAAAATTTATTACAATAAATGGAACTGTTAATGAGTTAAAGTATCACGTATATTAGATCAGTTGAGTTTGTGTACATGTATTATATATTTTATGAATAGATTATTGATTACCCCCGAGTGTATATCAGTTCATAGAATAATAGTTCAAAAAGGTGTATTTAATCGTTCCACGTACTAATTGTTAGTTTGCTTGCCTTGTTACAGTTTAAGTTGCACTTATGTATTAATTACAAATATTTAAGTTCCATACAGGTTTCTTGAACTTTATAGAAAAATTTTATATTATTGCTTATGTCTCCGTACTTTTCATTCTCTAAATAATTTATTTAAAATTAATACTAAATTTTTAATACTTTTGCCATAAATTGTTGTAACTTTCAGCTTCAGGGTCATTCTTAGTTGTACTGAGGGTTATTATATTTACTAAGACTTTATCAAACCGTTTTCCATGATTTCCAGTGTGATTACAAAGATTTATGTTCTTTTTTAGGGTTCATATTTGTTATCTATTAATATTGAAATTGTTGTGATTTCCAGTTTCAGTGTAAGTAAAACTCTTATATGTTCTGTTTTTTATCTATTAATATTTAAACTGTCTTCAAAGGTGTACTTTTGGAACAAACGAAGACTGTCAGAAGTGGTATCGCCGCCTTTTGAGTGCTATATCCCCTCCCAAGAAGGTTACAGATCTGTTTGGATTTGCTTTTTTCTTGTGGTGTCGAGATGAGAGGCAGGACAGTATCTTCCAACTGCTGCATCAAGGTGATAAATAATCACATTAATTTGTTCAACAAGAATTTATTTCTTAAATTAGAATATAAGAATTATTTCATCTATTGAGAAACAAGAAAATATCTGAAACTTAAGCATGCATTGTGGCATCACAATGAATCAAAGTGAGTGTTTTAAATATATATACTGATTAACTTCTTTAAATACATTGGAAAACCCGATTTTATACGCATCTTTTATGTTGCTGACACATTATAATTTGTAATACACAAATGCAACTATTAAAATAAATTTTTAAATCACCCATACAATTGTATGTATCAAGAATATAAACAAATATGTAAATCACCTTGTAGATTACACTGTCAAGAATATTAACAAATAATATGTAAATCACCTTGTAGATTACACTGTCAAGAATATTAACAAATAATCTGTAAATCACCTTGTAGATTACACTATCAATAATATTAACAAATAATATGTAAATCACCTTGTAGAATACACTATCAAGAATATTAACAAATAATCTGTAAATCACCTTGTAGAATACACTATCAAGAATATTAACAAATAATATGT